TCCAGCTGGATGTGCAGCTATTCTAGGCCATCAATGGATTCGAGCCTTAGAAATCGAACTTTTACAAATAGATGCTAATATATCAAACACTTCAATTCATAAATCACCAGTGTATCAAATCAATCCTCTCAATTAACTTTTGGAAAAATTTTCACCCCTCTTTGAAGAACGAGTTGGTTGCGTCCCTCATTTTCAAGTATCACTTCAACTTAGGGACGGAGCGTGACGTTCCTTATGCTCTCCGGGACCGTGTCAATAAAGAATTGGACTCTCTTGAGGCAGATGGAATAATATCCTTAGTGCCTGCGAGTGATTGGTGGGCACCATTGGTTGTCATTCCAAAACCAAACGGTGGCGTCCGATTATGTGTTGATTACAAATGTGGAGTCAATGAACGATTAATTCAATCAAATCATCCAGTAAGAAGAATAGATGATGTGCTTCATAGTCTTCGAAATTCAAGATATTTTTGTAAACTTGATTTATTTAAAGCCTACCTACATTTAAAAGTTGATGAAGATAGTAGCATGATACAGACCATTTCAACACATCGTGGTACGTATCGCATGCATAGGCTTAGTTTTGGAATAAAGACAGCACCATCAGAATTCAATCGCATTCTTTCTCAAATTCTCAAAGGGTTACCAAAAACAGAATCTTACTTTGACGATATTATTATACATGGTGAAACACTTCAAGAATGTACTGAAAATTTAGAAGCTTGCTTACAAAGACTTTCTGACTATGATCTGCACATAAATAAACAAAAGTGTTCCTTCAACAAAAGTGTTTTTCAAGAAAAAATCGAATATCTCGGACATGTTATTGAATATAATAAGATAAGTAAATCGCCAACAAAAATTCAAGCTGTTCAAGAAATGCCAAGACCATCAAATATTAAAGAAATCAAACGACTTTTGGGACTTGTAACTTACTACTCCCGTTTTATGCCAAATTTTTCAACTATATCATACCCACTTCGACGGTCACTAAGAAAAAACCAGCCTTGGTTATGGAC